GCTACAGCAAAGCCGGTGACGACGACACAAGAAGCTAAACGCATCGTCGAAAGCAAAGATGATCCAAAACAGGTTTCTCCTACAGCAGGTAGTGAAAAGAAAGGTAAGAAAATCGTCGACAAATACGTGTCCGAGAAGAAGATCAATGTCGGGTCGATCAAGGCGGAGAGAGTGAGCCTTTTCTTTATAGGAAATGGAGAAACCCAACCCGAAGGTGTTAACCGACAAGACCTCGAGGAGGAAGAAGAAGATGTCGGAGTGCTTAGTGGGCCTGAGTTGTTTGCCAAATCCGAGACTTTCATTGTTAACTTTTACCAGCAGTTGAATATGCAGAGGGGAGAGTCGTGGAACAAGAGCCAGGGATTTCATCGAAAGGCATTTTGAAGTGTATTTCTCTTCAAATCTTCATTATATCATAAATTAGGTTGTTACAAGTATCTTCACTATATAGATAATGCATGCTTCTTTTCTCTCTCTCATTTTCCTGCTTGCCAAGCAGGTTTGTTGTTAGTCTTTTTCAGGCACTTCGCACCATATTTTACCTTGAAGTTCCGTGAAATAAAAAAGACAGATAGCCAAGGGCTGTACATAAAGTATTTCTTCTAATATACCATACATGTTGGATTGAAACAAGTGAAACTAATGTTTAATATATTTAACATAACAAGCTTGCTACAACCTTTTTTTTACAACTGATATTTGATCCATTCATAACGTCGTAATTTGAACTCTAACTTTGTTTAAAGAATCTAGTCAATGACATATTAATAATTTTTTTAGGGTGGACATGTATATATATTAATAAAAAAATTGTATCGAGTAGACACAAATAAAATTTCAGGATAGACATTATCAATAAAATGAACAACTAATATAAAAAAGTTTGGATTTCTAGATGGACGTGCTTATTCATAATAAATTTTGTACCCATTATTAAATCTAATGTCTTATCTCACTAAGGTGGCGTTTGGTACATGGAATGTTTCAGAGGGAATTGAAATCTGTGAAGAATTAGAATCTATCAGAAATTGGAATCCAATTCCATATTATGTTTGCTTGGCAGGAATTCTGTTTGGTTCGCAGACATGGCAGATGAATTTGATTTCAGTAATGTAAAATGATAGAACTGCCCTTCTTGTTTTTTTGCTTTATTTGAGTTTGTTTTACAACTTACATATAGTAATATATTATAAAAAATTAAAAAATATTAAATTTCCATTTTATTGATTGATTATTCATTTCAATAAATTATAAAAATAATGCTAATAAACATCATATGTTAAAATCATCACGAAAAAATATGTTAATAAGTTACCAAAAGATAGAGCAATATTTCGATACATTCCAATCGGAGTATGTTAATTAGTTACCAAAATATATATATTTTTATTCAATATATGAATTAGAAACCCGACACGGCACAAAATAAAAAAAATTATTTTTATTCAATAAAAACATTGACTTAATTGAAAAAAAATATATATAGGGGTATTATTGTAATTATTCCTGAATATATAAGGTAAAATTATATATATTTTTCGGGTCGGGTATGGTTTTTTACCCTAAACCCGAACCGACCCGAATATCACACTTAAAAAACCCGACCCGAACAAAATAAAGTTTCACCCGACCCGAAATATATGAATTAGAAGTCCGACCGACCCGACCCGAAATAATAAAAAATATTTTTATTCAATAAAAACAATGACTTAATTGAAAAAATTATATATAGAGGGGTATTATTGTAATTATTCCTAAATTTATAAGATAAAATTATACATACTTTCGGGTCGGGTATTTTTCACCCTAAACCCGAACTCGACCCGACCCGACCCGAATATCACATTTAAAAAAATCGACCCGACCAAAATAAAGTTTCACCCGACCCGACCCGACCCGAATATATGAATTAGAAATCTGACCCGAAATAATAAAAAAATATTTTTATTCAATATATGAATAAGCTACCAAAAGATTGATGAGGGTAGTATGGTCAAATTTCAATTCCCTCCCGCAAGGAAATTGAATTCCATTCATTCTTGGATGAATTCACTTTTCCTCATTTAATGGAAAGTTGAAGCCATGAGGGATTCCAATTCCCTTGGAAAACTTGAACCAAACATGGGAAAGTGGTGAATTGGATTCCAATTCCCACCAATTCCAAGGGATTCATGCCAACCAAACACCACCTATTGATTGTGGATTGAACAAGCTTTTGATGACAGGTTTTAAGATTTTAGATGTTTCCAAATTTTGATTCTTAAAAATGTTGGAATCTTCATTCTTTATTTTTTGATTTGTGTGGTGGGAATAAGGGCATGTCATTGTTACAAAAGCTCCACTTTTGTTGCGGGAGGTCCTAGCCATGGCTGCTAATGTGGATCCTTATCTTTTCTTTCTTTCTTTTAGGTTCCCTTTGATATTATTTTTAAATAAATTGAGTATGTTCTTGATTGATATAAAACATTAAATTTTTTAAATTTTTTTATAGAAGAAATTAATTTTATTCAAAATAGGAAATATTCTAAATTACGATAAAATTTACAATTATAATCATAAATTAAGTACAATTAGTAAAATTTCTTATAATAATTGAAACAAAACTAGCAACTTAAGATCACATAAGAACCATACAAAGAAATTTAAAAACTATCCAAGAAACTCAAACAAAAATAATACAAACAAATCTGATCGTATCGACAAACGAACCACGAAAGGTGATCAAACTATTGAAAGACCACCGACAAACTGTAAATTAGACTCAAGCAACTTGAAAAGCTATCCACGGACACAAGTTATGTATCCAAATCCAATATGAGAGTCCAAAGCAGGAAGATCAACAAGATATCATATAAGTGTCATCTTAATCAGTCGCGACGATGTTAAATCAATCATTAGAAGAAGATAAACTAAAAAAGGTAACGATAGAAAAACATGCTAAAAGGAAAAAAATATGTCATACATGCAAACTTATTGAAAATCAGAAAGCAAAAAAAAAAAAATAGAAATACAATATAAGAAAAGAAAAATAAAATAAAAAATACGCGTCGACAACCAACATTAAAGTTGATGCCTCCACTCATCAACAAAGACAAAAAAAAAGAGATGATCGACACACCAATAAAAGAAAACTAGGTTTTTTCTAAACACAAATATAAATTTAAATCCTTAATTATAAAAGTAATTTAGATTATCAAAAAACTTAATTCTATACAAGATAATAAAAAATTATATAATTGATATAATTTTACATTAATGTAAATAAAACTTCTTTCTTCGATAAGCATCAATTTTCCTAATAAGCTCCCAACGTGCTAAGATAATTAAAGAGATAATCTTGCCTTAATCCTTGCAATGTACTTGTGGCAAAAACTGGCCCAATAGACCATACGGGCAAAAAAACTATCACACTAAGTTATTTCTAAAATTAATTTGAAATCTACGATAAATACTATAATATAGAACAATAGTCATACTCATATAACGAATTTATTCAAGTAATATTTTTTTATTTAAACTTGTCCCCGAAAAAGGCCACATTAGAGTTGTACTCATCTGCTTCATGTTCTGCTGGACTCAAGGCCCATCAATTATTTTATTTTTATAAAACGCCTTCATTATTTTCAAATTACAACATGCCTTAGTAAATAAATATATAATTTTTATTAAAATAAAATAATATTAAGTTTGGGATTCTCTTAACAACCAAAAAAGAATAAGAGATTTTTCTAAATTATATTTCTAAAATAAACATCCAATTATAGGCGACCGTTTATAACTAGGGATGGCAAACGGTACAGTTTCGTGGATTCCGCACCGCATCCGCTCCAATTGGGGCAGGGATGTGTATAATTTTAGCGGGTAGTGGGCGGGTGTGGATTTAGAAAGTGGTATCTGTCGCGGGTAGTGGGCGGGTAATGGGTTTGAGACTTACCCGCCCCGTATCCGCCCGCCCCACATCCGCCCGCCCAACTAAATATCCATTAAATTTGGACCATTATGAATTTAGGTGTAATTTTAGAGACTATTTATAAATTCTAATATTGTATAAGATATAACATGTAATTTATCCAACTCTCCAACAAATAGCAAAGGATATTTTGGGCATTCCTGTCTCCACTGTCCCATCAAAATCTGCATTCAGTATAGGTGGAAGAGTAATTGGTCCTTATCTTAGTCGACTACTTCTGGAGACGATTGAAGCATTAATGTATGCTCAAAATTGAGTTTGGGCCGATATTAAAGGTAATATTATTATTTAGTTTATATTAGTTGTCAAATTGTGCTTAATTATCTTATTAAAGTTTAGTTACTAACTTATATTAGTTTTACTTTCTATTATATATTTAGGTAGTAGTGAATTTAAATTGGAGCGCTCTCAGTTGGAGGAAATAGAGAATGATGATTGTAATACTGAGTATTATAGTCACAAATATTGCCTGAAATTTTAGAATGTTGTGCCAAAGAACAAAAATATTATGTGTTTGTCATTTATGTTTCTAGACTTTAATTATGTCATTTATTATGGTGTTTTATGTATTTTAAGATCTATATTAACACTTAACTTAGATAATTCTTGGATTATTTTATTATGTTTCTTAATGGACATGTTTTTTTTATGTTTGTTGCTTATGTATAACTTAAGTTTGCTGTCAGCCGGGTCTAGACGGGTACGTCGCTAGTAGGTAGTGGGTATGAGGATAGATTTGAGAATGTACCCGCGTGGGCGGGTGTGGATTTGAAAATTTGTACCCATCATGGGTGGTGGACGGGTGGTGGATTGAAAAATATTATGTGGGTATGGATGGGGAGGGGGTATCCGCACCCGACCCGCCCGTTTACCATCCCTATTACAACGTGCATATTATTTCTCTTCCATTATTATATGACAACTATTTGTTCTAAAGAGTGGAATCCGCGAAATGAAAGCTAGTAAGAAGGGGGGAATATAACCTATACTTAAAAAATCATAGTCAAATCATCATAAAAAAAATATAAAAATGAAGCACCAACCACCATATAATAAAAATATAAACATAGTTATACAACAAGCTGCTCTTAAACAACGTAATTCAGCAATGCAGGTCAAGCTTCCCTGTCAATGGCTAAAGCATGCCTTACAAAAACCCATCAAAATAGTATTATATGATGACAGGAGCTTAACAGTTTGAAAAAATTGTCATTTCTTAGTTGGTTTTTCAAAGACATTGTTTTTGCAGGTTGAAAGAAGATGGAGAAGGAACCAAGAAGGCTGATGAATTATGCAACTTTACCCATCTGTTTAGTGCTAATTGTTCTGGTTTATGCTACGTTTTTTCAATCCAAGGACACCTTAATTGATTCATGTAATCATCTTTCTTAGCAATTCAAACGTTTTTTTTCCTAGTTTTGTTCATATAAAAAACTTGGTTGACTTGAAACTCTCTGGAAAATGAAGGAGGATACAGGTTATCAAGTTCAAGCAGTGAAAGGATTAATATTGATGCAGTTGAATCTCAAGAATTTTTGCTGAGAAGGCTTGTTAGAGGTTCGTCTCTTTATCCATTCTTTTTGGGATTTAATGCGTGTTGATTCTTATATATTGCGGCGAATGAACAGGAGATGATCAAGTTCGGTTCGAGTCGAATGGATTTTCATGTCACACTGATTCTCATTCAGATGTATGCGTTGCAAATAAATCTGTAAGGATTTACAACAAAGGGTTAACAGTTTATGTGCCGTATGATCATCATCACGAATCTCGAGTCAAGAGAATTGTTAAGCCATACGCAAGGCAGGAAGACGAAACCGCCATGAAACTCGACTCACCGGTACAGATTCTTCATGGGAACAGCACCATTAAACCACCAGCAGCAGCCTGTAATTTCACCCATAATGTCACTGCTGTTGTCTTCTCTTCCAAAGGCTTCACAGGCAATGTTTTCCATGAGTTCAATGAGATTATCATCCCTTTGTTCATCACTACCATCCATTTTCGATGGAGACTCAAGTTTGTGATCACAGATTTCGAGTTTTGGTGGGTTCAAAAGTACAACAGGGTTCTGTCTCACTGTCTGGTTATGATGTTATAAATCCTGATGATGGGAGTGTTCATTGTTTTCCAGGGGCTGTTATAGGGCTTAAATATCATAACAATTTAGCCCTCAACAGTTCTGATATCCCAGGTTCAAGCACTTCTTGAAAGAATCATACAATCTGAAAATAAACCATGTGTCTGAGATTAAAAAACCGGTGCTAATGCTTATACCGCGCCATAATTCAAGACGGTTTTTGAACGAAGATGAAATGGTGGAGATGTTGGAGGGATTAGGCTTTCGAGGACGGAACCTGAGAGGGTGTCGAACTTGGACAAGTTCGCCGAGGTGGTGAACTCATGTAGTGTCATGGTTGGAGTCCATGGTGCAGGGCTAACAAATGAGATATTCTTGCCCACTGGTGCAGTGACGGTTCAAGTGGTGCCATTGGCACATGAATGGGTGTCAACCAACTACTTTGGTGAACCGGAAAAGTCGATGGGGGTTCAGTACTTGGAGTACAAGATTGAACCGGAGGAAAGTTCGTTTTTCGACACAAACGGGAAAGATCACCCCGTGATTACTGATCCGGAATCTGTGATCTCTAAGGGATATTATGCATACAAGTCTGTGTATGTAGATGGCCAAGGTCTAAAGATTAATTTAGAGAGATATAAGAAGACCCTTATTGAAGCTAAGCAAATTCTTGAAACTTCAACTCCCTTTTGATAGATTAATGTAAATTTATTCATCTTCAAGATACTTGATTGTGCGTCGTTTTCACTGTCAAATAATATTTAGCCTTAATCTCAATAAAAGGATATGAAAGATAGTATAGAGAGAGTAAGGGTCGATCCATAGGGAAGAGGAAGTTGATGAATTTCTCGCTTTTGATCTTGATTCAAGCGTGATTTGAAGAGAAGAGTGAATAAAGGGGGTTTTGGAGAGTTGAAATAAAAATAAGTTTTGAAAGAAAATAAAGAAAGTAAACTAAGTAAATTAAAGTGAAAATTCAATTGATAAAACTAGCTTCTACCTCGATTTAAATCGATCATTGAATAGGGTTTTACCTTCAGACTCACATCGGATACAGTCTACAGGGCCCAACCCCTGCAACTTGTTTCTCTCTCAAATGAATCGAGTATCTAAAATCAATTTTTAGATCTCAACCCCTTTGTGAGTTTATAACGATAATCGCTTACCCGCTCAACACCTTTAAATTCTGGAAAAACCCGATTCGGATTGTACCATCTCAAACGAGAATTTAACTCGATTTCAATTTCCCTTATTGGACTGTCGCTAAGTGTGTTTACAGGAAGTCGAATATGCCATAGGTCGATCATTCCTCCCAACTGTTAATTGAAACCGAAATTCAATTCCAGCGTGCACTTCTTGAAATAAAATCACTTTGATTGTAAAATGATGGTCGATTACTAATCATTGATTTCCGAAAACTGAAAATGTAACCCTTAAGGATATGATGTGCTTTTCGATTCTCACGATTCAGAATCGAGTCATTGTTTTAGCCTTTGGCTATGGAAAACTTAGCTAAGTATGATAGAAACCATACTTAGCAGTTTTGAAAGATAATGAAGTAAAAAACTTGAAAAGAAAATAAAGCGAAAAGAAAAAGGAAAACTTTTATAATACTAAAGAAAAAAGAGACAAGAGAGTTCAAGAGTGAATTGGTTGATGCTTTGAGTCTTACCCCAGTGGGGTATTTATGGTCCTAAAAAACCCTAAAAATATAATTCTTAAAAAATAAAAATAAATCCTAATTTGAATTTGAAAAATGCGATTGAGTCTCATGCTGTAATGCCCGAAACCCAGGTCAGTAGTTTGGGTCAACTCGAGACCTTTAAGTCAAGCCAATTAGACTTCCCAAGATTGTTGGACCAAGTTATATAGGTATTGGGCTTAAGTAAAGCCCAAGAGTTAAGGGTAAGTGATGATTTTAAGTAGAGGTAAAAAGGAGAGGGACAAAAAATGTAGTTTACCCATAGTTGGTTTTAAAGGTTATAAACCTCCTTATTTAGCTAGATTTCATGGGAACCTTCCACCAAAAATATATCCCATATTTCCTATTCTCTTTTCTTCTTTCTTCCCAAGAGAAAAAAAAGGATAGAAGTTTCTTGAATCCCAAACCTAGTTTGAATAAACCAAGGTAAGAACCATATTCTTCATCCCTTAAGCTTCATTTCAAGCCCTTAATCTTTAGTTTTGGGTAAGATTTTAGAAAAATGTTTTTGGAGTTGAGAGAAATCAAGTGTTTTAAGCTTGTTTTTAGGTAGATTTGAGTTGTAGGGGTTGTATTTATGCTTAATCTATCCTCTAGTTGAGTGGTAATCCATTTCCTTTCTTGGTTTAGTTAAAGAGGTGAAAAAGAGTTTAAAGCAAACGATGAAGGTAAGGTGAATCGTAGTTGATTCAAGAGGAGTTTAATAACCAAGAAGGCCATGTAACACACTTACAGCTTCCTCATATCAGTTGTAGATCATTAGAAATGAGCTTTAGCTAGAAAGTTAAGATTTTAGCTTGAGAATTATGGTTGAAGCTTGTTGAGTATAGTTTAATGGTAGATTACATGATTTATGTTATAAACATGATATAAAGCTTTATTTATGCTCCTGGTAATCACATAAGACTTTAAAGAATGTTTGGGGACCTCACTGGGGGTATTTGGGTTTGAAATATAACATTTCCGTATATGTTTTATGACTTTTTCAGGTACAATATCGATACTATAGGGATAATATCGATTCTTGTTCTTTGTTTTGGGCATATTCATGAGTTTCTGGGAAAGAGTATCGATACTCTTGGAAGAGTATAAAAAATTTGGGTCATAGTTTCGAAACTTCCAGAAAGTTTCGAAACTAGGTAGATCAGAATGTTTAAAAGTATCGATATTTATATAAAGTATCGAAACTTTTTCAAGAGTACCGATACTCTTAGGCTAGTATCGATACTTTCAGTCTGTTTTGGTCAAAATGTTACCCTAGAGGCCTTAAACCCATAGTATGACCATAAATGGGATTGAATAGGTGTAAAACAATAGAATAAGTGATATAGAAGGTGTTTAAAGTTGGGTTAAAATGGATGAAATAGTTACAGGGGTATTGATACCTTAGGAAAGGTATCGATATTGCAAAGAGGGTATTGATACTATAAGGCCAATATCGATACCAAAGTATGGTTTGAGCTTTAAAGTACGAGTAAGTGTAGAGGCAAGCGATGGTATTGATATTGTAAGGCCAATATCGATATCAAGGTTGAGAAATGGGATTTAAGTCAAGAGAAAGTATAGAGGTAAGTGAGGTTTCCCAAAAGCTTATTATTTTGTCTCAAATAAGACTACAAGTGAGAACTTTTATTAATGTTTAATTCAAACGTAGAAGTGAGAATAAAATATGTTGAAATAAGATTAGCCTTTTTGAATGCTCGGGAAAACGATAGGACACTTGAGTTTCTTTATAAAAGATAACAGAGTTGAAAGTATAGATTCAGTCCGGATATATCATTAGTTAGGGCGCGAGGCCCTTCTAACTAACTATGTTTGTCGAGGCCTTAACACTCTTTAGAAGAAAGGCTGGGTTAGTCTGGGGTATGGTTTTCGATACAGAGAATTTTGGGGGCCATATCCAGGGTAGACTAGAGGGGTGTGTGATCTCTGAGATGTATAACCTTTAGTCGCATCATGATGTCTACCATAGAGTAGAGAGTGAGCATACGAGTATACTCACTAAAGAAAAACAGAACATAACAACTCAATAGGCCAGATAGCAGTAGATTTGATAGCTTGAGGATTTTAGTGATGTACAATTAGTATGTTTTAGCCATTAGTGTGGCACCGAGCTAGTTAGCTCAGCCTTCAGATATTTCGGTGGGCAGGTTAATAGATCCAACAGTTGAGAAGCTTTAAAGAGACCAAGCTCCAGATCCAGTGTAGAGCAGAGTATGTCACAAGTTTCTTAAATGGCATGTATATTCATGAATTTAGTTGTATTGAGTTGTAAAGTTAGTTAAGAGTTAGTATGTACGTATCTATATATTTTGAGGGCTCTCAGATGTAAAGATTCATTTTAAAGTAAAAGAAAGTAAGAATAAGTTGGTTAGCCACTTTGGTGGTTCCGTGTGGCATCCTACATCGGTCGAATGTGTGTCGTACTGGTCTAGGGTGTTACACCTGCTCCCACCAAGCTGTTGACTGAACGCCATGTCAGTAAAGTCAGAAAATAAAAAATTACACAATTTCATCAGTTTTAGCAACATTTTTGGAATCTACTGTCCTGCATTGAAAATGAACGAGAAGGGCCAAGTTAGCAACTTAAAATAGCTAATCAATGAGTAACTAATCACAAAATAATGCATTGCCCAATTTAACCATTAATCAAATTCCCTTCACTTATTCAATGCTTGTCCTCAAGCATTTCTTAATTATCATGCCAAATATCTCAAGTTGTCAATTCCAATTTCATAGATTTTCCAAGGTTTCTAAGCTAACTCAATCAAGTAAATGTTGAATTCAAGATCAATCAAGCAAGGCACAATCAATTAAGTGTAAATCAACCATGACATTTCAATCATTCATTAATTTCAAAGAATACAAGACTTAGTTTCTCACTTGGGTTCACTCATTTCGTTCAAGTGTTTCGGGTGAAAGAATCACTCAAGCCTAAGCCAATCAACACATTACCATACGCTTGTAACTAAATCTTATATCCACTACTTAATATAAAAATGATGCAATAATCAAAGGTCTTTAAAATGGATTGTAACATAGCTAAGGTTCAGGTAGAATAAAGGTCGAAAACGGGCTTTCAAAAATTCAAGACAAAGTATGGACTATTTCGAAGATTTATTCAAAGGGAAGAAAAATTAAAGAAACGAGAAACAAGAAATTCAACAAAGCTTTATTCACTATTTTTTTTCTTTTTCTTTTCGAAACTTTCTATTTTTCCTTTTTTTTCCTGCTGTTTGAATCTCTTTTTTTCCTTGCATTGAATTTTTTGCTCATTCAAACAAAAATTACACTGTCTGAATTTTTGACACTTTATTTCTGCACTGTTTGAACCAAACTGCACACAATTTTGCCATTCTAACAGTGTAATTTTTGGAGTGTTTTATTCAATTCTGCGCTATTTCGAATGATTTTTTTCCTTTTTGGAATGGTATTTTTTATCTTAAAATAGGGTAACAAAAAGAGGTAAAGTAAAATAAAATAGGCTCGGGTTTAAATATATGGTGAACAAAGAAAAAGATAAGGCTCAAAATGGTTCACTAAGGGGAAAAATAAAAGGGTAGGCTATTTTGTTTGGGAAGAGAAATGAGTTTAATCCTAATGACTCTATCACATTAAAGCATCACAATCAAAAAGTGTAGTCTCAACAAGCATCGATTTACAAGCTCTAAAATGCAATAAATTAGTTCGGTACATTCAATTGAAACAAACAGCAAGAATAAAAGATATGCTCACTAAGCTAAAACATCACATGAAAGGTTTATTAAACTAAGTCATGCATCCAATTAAATCAACAAATTCATGAAATTACCACAAAAAATTTACCTCAACTAGTCATGCCATGCTATCTTACATCCTAAACTCAACAAGAACAAGATTAAATTCACAAAGAAAAATAATAAATTAAATTAAATTAGAGATCAACAACCAAGATTATCAACAATTCTAATCCAAGAAATGACTCAATTTCAATCATAAAGGATTCCACCCT